GAAAGCCAAAGGTGGTCTGCAGATGTGACCGTGTGGGTGGATAGGAAAACCCTGGTCCCCTGTGTGTAGGAAGGGACGCTGACGTGCTCTAGAGTGAGACACCCGGGCCATCACAGTCCCCTCATGCTTCACTTACAATTCTCCTATAGTCACCAATCTTTGCAAACTGGTTCCTTCTAGAGGATCCTGAAGCATTTGCTCCTCCTGCTTCTCAGCTTCAAATGCCAGGTCCTTCCTATTCTTTCTATTCCCTAGCTTTTAGAAAAAACATTAAACAATATTTATTTTATTTATTTGCTTTGTGTGTGTGTCCATAATTGGTGCTCATTCATGCCTCCTAATCATAGCTTCCTGAAAAGGGAATATTTAAAAGAAAAATACAAAACACAATTGAAATTCTAGCCAGAATCACAACTCTCTCGGGGAGTGGAACTCGCTGTTAAGGAAGGAATGTCAGTTCCCGACGACCCACTTTAGCAGAAGGGCCTCTCGGCTCCCTTCCTTGTGTGGCAGCCAAGCCAGGAAGGATACCCGTGTTCTGTCATTTGCTCATCCAGAGAGCTGCTCTAAGCCAAGTGGGGAGGTTCAGACGCCCCCACAGCACTGCAAGGACGGTCCAAACATAACAGGAAAACAGCAATTACAGAGGGGCAGTAACAGGCAGGTCGCCGCAGAGACAGCTACCTCCTAATGCACATCCGCTCCACGCAGTAACTCTGGCTTCCCGCTCTAACAGGAAGGGAGAGCGAGGGGACAAGAGAGACACTCAGAGGAAGAAGTGCTTCTAGGTAACTGACTAAGAGGGGTTCACAGCTGAGCTCTGGGAGGCCACAGGATTTCTGTGGCTTGTGTTTACTTGGAAACTCCTTTCCTGGGAAGGCTGTGCCTGGTCATGTGGAAAAGATATTTTCCGACTTGGCTTCCAAGGCAAAGACACTGTGTTCCAATTATTTCCTTCTTTCAGCCTCCTACTAATATGACTATTATAGGTTTGCCCCTCTGAAATGTTATTTAATAAATCTCGACACAAAGGCAATTAAAACGCTCCATCTCAAATTAACAACAGCTGTGTGGAGTGGCGCTCGCTGGCTGCCCCAGTTAGAAGCCTTTCGTGGGAGCAACAGCTGCAGATTCTTAGCATTTTTGGGCCAAATGGTGCAGGCAGTGTGGAATTTTAAGTAACCTGTACAATGGCATGATTCTTCCCCTGGCTCCAAACTGGGGAGCAATGTGATTTTTCTCACTGTAAAAAGGGCATAAAGTCTGCTGGTGGATGCATGGCTTTTCATCCTGTCTCTAACGTCACCAAAGCCCCAACTTAACACTTTTAAATAAAGGGGGATTTGCTATCCCTCTAGAATCATTTGATAACACGGGACCAAAGTCTTTTGAAGAACCCCATCTCAGAATGAAGGGTCTGTGCTCTCCGGTGGCCAGGTGACCGATGGCCACAATTGCCGCCGCCTCACTGGTGTTTCATGTGTCATTAACTGTAGGCTTGTGCCCTCAGCAGACCCTACACAGCCCCACATGGTATGAGTGAGAGTCCAGGCGACATTCCGCTTTCAAGGGGTGTGTTGGGCCCTCATGGGAAAAAGAGTGGAAAATCCTTATTTTCAGTCTCAAATGGAATTTGAACAGACAGGTCAATGGAGTTTCCACGTGAACCTCAAGTTGCACTAACGGAACAGGGAAAACACTGGGAGCCTGGCTTTCCACTCAGCCTGTCTCTGCCCAGAGCCAGCTGAGGGGGCGCTGCTCTTCCAGCCCCGGTGTTCTCCGGGCTAGCCCT